GTCATTAATTCTGTGAAGAGGGTTTTTTTTTTATGTCATTTGTACTTTTTCATGATTTTTCATGGATTCCTGTCAGTCTTATATTATTCTTCTTTGCATCATCTAGGAGCTGCTGGATCGATTTCTCATGGTCTCTTACTATTTTTAAGAGATCTCTCTTTTCATGGTCACTGCCTGCAATCCTGTCTTCTCTATCTGATATTCTGTCTTCACATTGGCTCATTCTGCTGCAAATGGTTTCAATAGAGTTTTTAATCTCCTGGATATCTGTTTGAATCTGTTTCATGGATTCCATTTCTTTCCTATGCTGGGCATTCATGGTTTCCATTTCTTTTCTATGCTGGGCATTCATGGTTTCCATCATGGACCTGAGCTCATCTTTTTTTTTATCTGTTTCTGTTCTAGAGTCTCTAATCATGTCTTTCATTCTGCTCAGCATCTCTGTGGTTATCTGGGAAATTATTTCTGTTTTGAATTTTTCTAGAGCTTCATTCATCTGTTTTGTTACTTCCTGTCCCATCAGTGCAGGGTGTCCAGGCAACTGATTATCAGATTTTTCCACCTCGTTTCCTCCAGAATTTGTCTTTGGTGAGCTGGTAGCCTGATGTTGTGCCTTGCTTAGGTATCTTGTCATTTCTATTTTTGGTGTTGGTACTGTTTTTGCTTCAATTCCTAGGTTGATACTTCAATATTGCTTATTGTAAGTATCTTTGTTGCTTGTACTTAGAACCTTTATGGAATGACTGTTTCTCAGAAGTGTTTTCCAGATACATCTGGCCTTTAGGTTTTGAGTCTCTACTGACTCTTAGGCTCTCTCATTTTCAGTATACCAGGAAGGACAATTGATTAGATCAATCACAACACCTTAGCCCAAGTGATACAATCAGCAACAACAAGAGAATCAAGCACAGTTTAGAAAATGACAATTTGTGGTAGTTATTAATTTATCACTTTTAAACCTGTGAATTAAATCAAAGTTGAGGACCAGCCCAAAATATGTCTATAGTGAATAAACTCTTCAATATAGCAACTTTACCCTTTGGGATGGGAACTTAGAAGGAGGTGGGGAGGGAGTGATAGATAGGTATGATAGGGAAAGGTTAGAAGTGAGGCCAGAGGGCACAGGAAGATCACACGAACTCTAGAAAGCTGTTGAAGAGAAGAGGAGAAGACAGAACAAAAGAGCAAACACAAGGACAAAACAACCTAACAGCAATAGGGAGGCTAGAAACTATATTCATTTTTCTTTTAAAACTAATGACGATCAAGAGTAGGAAAAAGAGAAGAAAAGAAAAAGTAAGAAAAAAAGGAATTCAAATTGGGACAGGAACAGGAATAAAAAGGGAGAGAAATGAAGAATAAGGTGGGAGGGAGAGAGTGAGAGAGAAAGAGAAAGAAAACAGAAAAAAAAAGAAAAGAAAAAAGGAAAACATTTTTTAAAAAAAGAATAGATAAAAATTAGAAAAAACATTAAAAATAGGAGAAAAAATTACTTTGAAAATAAATAATAATAGTAATACCTCCTTAAGGGTATGTCTCTGATATCACTATAGACAGCATGGGCAGGAGTGTGCAGATGTAATTCAGTTAGTCTCAGCAAGCCAGCAGCTGTCCCCTGAGGTTCAGGCTCATTTCTGCCTGCAAGGCCCAAGTTGAGATCTCTGACCTCCTGCTAGGTTGAACTCTGTAAGGTTCTTCTGCAGGTTCCAGCTGCCCTTCCCCTGAAGATAGTCCAAGTTCCAATGGGAGGTGGTGATCCCTCCATCTTACCAACTACGGTGGTCTGGTGTACCTTTATTACAGAGATTTTCTTCACTTTTCCAATGGGCTTCAGTTTTCATCTAGGAGCCTCAGAGAGGCCCTCTTTCTCTTGTTCACTTCTTTTCTATCTTCTGGAGCTCAGATCAATGTCCTTTCTGACCCACTGCCCCTCTGTGGTGTGGATCCAAGTGCTGGCTTGGCCCAGTGGCCAGAAGTGGGGGGGGGCACACGCTGTGTTGGTGCCCACTCTGCTTCGCTGCTCTGCACTGAAGGGGCAGGGCCACTGGCCAGCCCGTGCTGCTCAGGACCTCTGCTGTTCTGCGATGAAGGGCTCTAGTTTTTTATCTGTGTCTACTCTAGATTTATTGAGCATGTCCTTTATTTTGATCATCACTTTTTTATTTTATTTTTTTTGGTACTGGGGATTGAACTCAGGTCCTTGTGCTTGCGCCACAGGCGGCGAAACCACTGAGCTAAATCCCCGGCCCCTATCTTGATCATCACTTTTTTTTACCTGAGTGATTATACTCTCTTTAACCTCATGCAACTGTGTTTTCACTTCTGCTCTTATCATTTCCAATAATTCAGGTGAGTGACTTCCAGTTCCTTTATCTTGTTGTCCCCTGGACTTGTCCTAGGTGGGCTGGAGGTCTTGGATTGGATTTTGCTTCTGCATCTTGTCATTTTCTTTTCTTTCTTCTTTTTTTTGTTTTACTTTGTTTTCTGTGTTCATTTTTGTAAATTTCTTATGCCAGATAGCTTTATCAGTAGTATCAAGGCCTTCCTAGGTAATATCTATTCCTCAGTGATGTCTTCCGGGCATATGAGGTTCTTGGTGCTTGTGTCTGTTCCAAAATCCTACCTTCCCAATTTATTAAGGATCCAAAGTTGCTATTTATTTGGTTTAGCACCCAGCCCTTTGGTACTGGACTATGGTGATCGTTATGGCCCCAGACAATCACAGTGTTGTCATAAAAGGGAGAACAACTGATTGCAAAAGGTATGCTATCCTGACTAAAGTAGTACAGTTAGCAATATCAAGAGCATCAAGCAACCCTAGAAATTAACAAATTGTGGTAACTATTAATTTGGTACCTTTAATTATAGGAAGAAAAACTACAGTTTTATAACATAATCCAACATAAACCAGGGACTTCTATGCAATGAGTTTCCCCTTAGTGGAGTGATTTTATCCTCTGGGTGGGAGAGTTTAAGAGGGGTAGGGGGCAAAACAGATAAATGAAGGGAAATGTAGTAGTTGCAAGGCTGGAGGACAACAGATGATCTTAAGCTTTGGGAAACTGGAGAAGCAGGCAGGAGAGAAAGCCTGAAGAATAAAGCAAAAGAATATTGGAGTAAACCAGAAAGACAAGAGGAGATTTTCACTCACATGAAAATATAAACTCAAGAGTAATAGTTGAGGAAAGAGAAAAAAAATGAGAACAAAATAAAAATAAAGGTAAAATCCTAAACAATGAAGAAGAAAAAAAACTCCAACCAGACAGAAAAAGGAAAGAAAGCCAACAAAGAAAAAAAATAAAATTTCTCTAGAATCCACAGTTCTGTGGTAGTGACCAAGGGAGGTAATGTCCCAAAACTGTGCTGTGTACCCCTGCCAGGTCTGCAGTAGGATTAGTGCTGGGTACACGGTTGGTCTCGTGGGAGCTGGGGCCAGTCTTCAGCCAGCAGTTTTTCGGATGTCTCCTCCCACCCCAAGCCTCCTTACTGTGGGTGCTGTTGCACTCTCAGGCAGGGTAGCCCAGGGCTGCTCCAAGTCCTGTGTACAGTTGGCTCCATTTGGTCTTTGCACAGCCTCTTCTGTTTCACCCCCACTGGCCCTTCTCTAGCCCATCCTGTAGCTTGTCAAGGGGCAGGGTGGGGTGGGGGTGGGGATGCTATCACCACTGGGAATGTAGCCCAAGGCTTCTAGGTTCCACCTCAGTGTCCTCTCCAGTGGTTAGGTGTGAACCTGGGGCTATTTAAATCCTGAGTGTTTTCTTTGAAGCTACTGGTTGCCACTCCTTTCCCCCACCTCCACTGCCCTTAGCTCCTAGGGCACAGGACAGAGGAAAAAAAAAAAAAAGGAAAAGAAAAATAGGGGCTGGAGATCCTTCCCACTGGGAGGGAACAGATTATTTCTGGTCACTTACCTCTGTGTTTGCTAGTAAAATTTGTTGCCTGGCTACAGTGTCCTTTGTGTGGAGGAAGGCAAAAGAGGCAAGAGGCCTTTTCCCCCGAATCTATTCTGCGTGGCTTGAGTTAGCTGCACTTTTTCAGTCCTTCAGTGTCTTGGGGACTTCCCAGTACAGAGAGTCTTGCTCAGCACTTCTTGCACCACTGGTAGCCCTGTGGGCTGATGCGCCATTTTATGAAGTACTGTGCCTATGTTTTATGTGATCTAGTAGTCTCTCATTTCAGACTGATTTTGGCATCAGGATGTATGTCTCTCCCTTTCTTCAAATTACCTGTGTTTTTAGTTGATTTCTCTCTGAGTAGGTCCAATGTTACTCCTCCTCCATTCAATCATCTTAAATTTTAAAAAGGAGGGACAAATTATTACTTTAAAATTGGGGTAAGTGGGAGGGGATGATTTGGGAAAATGAAGAAGAAAGTGGGGAGAAGATATTCCAAATGTCTATGAATACTTTGTGATATACAATTTGGTTTTCTGGTGGAAGCTGCCCACTAGAAAGGGAAACCTAGAGGGATTGTTTTCAACCAGATCCATGCTTACTTGTAAGGCAAGGAATTAGCAGGGGTTGTGTTCTGCATGCTGTTCTTCCAGAACAGCTTAGTTTTTCTATTCACATGAACTCCTGGAGTGCGTGAGAACCTACCTGGGTCAGCAGTGGACCTGTCTGCTGGCTGCGGAGGCTCATGGAACACAGTGGACAGAGCAGGGTCTGAGGTCTAGTCCATTTCTCTACTCTGTCTAAGCTTAGGGCCACCATGATTACCGTTCACTACCAATGATAGCAAAAAGGCAGGAGCTGGTAGATCAGACAGAAGCTGATTGTGACAATTCTGCCATCTTTTGCCTGAAATTGTGTTTTTTACCACAGTTTATTTCTTTCTAAAGCCACACATAATGACTTTCATTCATTCATTTAACATTTGATGAATACCTTCTACCTAAAGTTTCCATGCAAAGTAATTAAAATGTCTACTTTCAGGTTTTGCCATATGTATGTATTTCCCCTAAATCCTTCACTTTTAATGGTGAATTCCGTTTTTTGCAGAATGTGTCTGTTGCCTACATTGGAATGTTAGTAGGTGGAGACTATATTTTCTCTCCATTAAACTTTGTAGGATTAAATATTTGGTAAGTGACATTTTTAAAAACTCAGTTGATTACAATAAGAATTTTAAAATTAAGTTTATTGGTACATTTTAGGTATATATGATCACGTTCATCATAGGGAATTTGTACCTGTACATATTATATCTTGCTTCTTATTTTTCCCATTTGATTAATATGTAATAAACAAAAGTGCAAAGATAAATCTTATATTTTAAGCTGGAAGGTAGTTTCATATTATAGTTTTAAAAATTATTTTGTTTAAATCTTCAGTTCCTCTCTCTTTTTGGTGGTGCTGGAGATTGAATATAGGGCCTCATGAGCTCTGAGCCCAGCTCCAATTTCTCTGTTTTTTTCTCTATTTCTCTGCCCACATTATTCCTCGTGGGAACAGTGTCATGAACATCCACAGGACCAGGATCTGAGTTCATTCCCACATCTTCCTCCCAGAGGGGTCTCCTAAATTATCTGCCTTCCTCTTGCTGAGTGGGGCTCACTAGCTTATGCCCATTCTAAGTGCCATATACCAAGGATGCCCTAAGGATTGACTAACTGGGATTTTTATTTATTTATTTTTTTGGTACCGGGGATTGAACTCAGATCCTTGTGCTTGCGCAGCAGGCGGTGAAATCACTGAGCTAAATCCCCAGCCCCACTAACTGGGATCTTTTTAATTTTTGTACTGGGGATGGAACCCAGGGTACTCTACCATTGAGCTACAAGCCCAGGCCTTTTTAAATTGAGGCAGGTCTTGCTAAATTGCCCAAGCTGGATTCCAACTTATGATCCTTTTCCCTCAGCCTCCTGATTAGCTGGGATTACAAAGATGTGCCACTGTCCCTAGCTGGCTAGAATACTTTTCAAAAGAATTTTGGTGTCCCAGACCTGGGTGCTATTTTAAGAATGGAATATAGTTTGTTCAATAAAAACCAAGTGTGTGTTTTCTGTCTGAGGTTCCATATTAGATTTGATTACTGCTTCTGTCCCCAAAGGTTTGTATCTAGGAGGAGAAATTGACATCAGATCATCCACAAACCTTAGGAACCCCCAGAGAGCTAAATTGTCACCTCCAAATCAAGCTGACTATATTTGTACAGATGTCAGCTCTGCTGCTTAGCCATGGAATTCCCAGGTATTTATTCTTGCTGTTTTTTTCTCCTTTCAGCATGGCTGGAGGCCTGAGATATTCCTTCTTAACACTGGGCAGGCAGTTCAAGCCTAACCAAACTGATGAGGAAAATGTCCCGCTGGAAGTGAAGAGTTAGGTGCTGGGGCAGAATTGCAGCCTGACTTGCAGACCAGGCATAGGGAGGGCATTCCTTGCCAGAATTACACAGCCAGAGGTTTCACTGTTGGGACCCGCACTGCCCTGGTCAGAGCACAAATGGGAACCTCTGCAAAACACAACACGACCTCTGTGCTAGTGCGTGGTGAGCTTCAGGGGCCTGAAGAAGGACCTCATGTGGAGCCTGGCTGGCCGGAAGGAAGCAACACTTTCAGAACAAGCCCTGGGGATGGCAGGAGAGGATGTTGGTTCCCACCTGTGCTGTGCCAACCTTTGCTGCTGTGCGCTGAAGAGGATGCCATGCATGATCCTAAGGCCTCAGCATCTGGCCTCATAGCAAAGGTGCCACCACAGCAAGGTGCTATGATAACAGCTTTATTTTTTAGTTTCAACAAATATGTTTTAATAAAATTGGCCCATTAATGGCCAGGAGAGTCATTTGTTAGCTTTGTTATAAGCTATGCTGGTGTCTTTCTCTAATCGTCTGAATAGAATAAAGTCATTTCTATGAATGTCTCACCCTGCGATGTTGCTGCACACAGGGGGAAACAGTAGGTCAGTTATTCACAACACAGAACACCTCAGCTTCATGGGACAATTAGATGCTCCTTTTAGGGCATGTTTTAAGAGAAATTACAATATAACTCAAAGGAACAAAACACTCAGGGTGAGTCCTGTCAAGTGGCTTATCTATTTCTCTGCACATTTCCCTCCAGGTTTGTTCAGGACTTTAACCAAAGGTGCATCTCTTGACAAGCTTGCCTACCACTCAGACTGATAGATGGTGACTGGGAAGGAGTCCCGATGGACAGGGCTGATCTTTGACCTCCCCATCAGGAATGGGAAGTTCTCATCCCCTTGTGGGGTGGGTGGTGGAGCAATGGGCATTTCTCCCTATCCTTCTCCAAAAGTTCAAGTCTTTGCCCAGATAAACTGGCAACAGACAGCTTAGCAAAAGAAAAGGTATACAGATTGATTACCTGTGCATTGAGCCACTTAAAATATAAAACTCAAGAGCCAGTTGGATGAATTCCTTAGAGGAGAGAGAAGGGGGTGTGTGGGCTATGTTAGAAGAGTAGCAAGTGATTATTAGTGGGGATGAATGGGCTTGAAGGACAGACAGTGGCCGGAGACGAAGTTCCTTTAGGCTCTTTGGTGTTTGATGTACAGTCTCCTCCTCAGTGGTAGGAGCTCGGTTTTCTTGGCCAATGGAGTTTCTGTAAGAAGACTGAAGGCAGTTGTGATCTTCTGTGGTAGATCCAGTCTTTAAGTCAACAGGTTACTTCAGAGAAGAGCTCCAGTGGACATCTGCTGATTCCTGAGCCTTTGCCGTGAAGCAGTCAGCACACAAAGGTCCCATGTTCTGGGGCGCTGTTTTCTGAGCTGACACAGGGTAGAGCCCCAGTCTGGGAGCCAGGAGCCCTTCTTTCTAGTCCATTCATTACCGGTCATCTCCAGAGACCTTTACAAGTCACTTTGTCCATTGTGGCTTCCATTATTTTACATTCAAATTCAAGTAAATCAGTCAATCCTTGACTGCAGTGACTTTCTAAATTCCTAGAAGTTGCGCCAGATGAGGCAGCAAAGGAAAAGATGACAGATGGGCCCATGTGTTTCTTCTCTTTACCTTAAAAAAATTATTTTAAATTCTCGTACAATATACAACAAAATTTATGATCTTAACCATTTTCAAGTGTACAGAGAGTATGAAGTATATTTATGTTGTTTTGTAACCAATCTCTAGAGCCTTTTCATCTGGCAGAACTGAAAATTGGTACCCATTAATCAACCCCCATCTCTCCCTCCTGCCCCTTCCTGGCCACTATTCTGCTTCCTCTCTCTGGGAATCTGACAATTTAAGATATCACAAATAAGGGCCATCATATGGTATTAAGTATTTTTGTGACTGGCACAATATCCTTAAAGTTAATCCACATTGTAGCATGTGTTAGAATTTCCTTCCTTTTAAAGGCTGAATAGATTGTGTCTGCACCATAATTTGTTATCTGTTCATCTGTTGATGGACCCCATGGGTTGCTTCTACTTTTTGCTCCTTCTGAATGATGTTGCTATGAGTATGGGTGTGCAGGTATCTCTTCAAGACCTTGCTTTTAATTCTTTTGGATTAATACCCAGAAGTGGAATTGCTGAATTGTATGGCAATTCTATTTTTAATGTTTTGAGGAACCGCTATACTGTTTTCCCTTGTGGCTATACCCTTTTCCATTCCTACCAACAGGGGTTTCAGTTTGTTGACATCCTTGATAAATAACATGTTCTTTTCTATTTTTGTCATAGTAATCACAGTGTTTTGGCTTTGATTGGTGTTTCCTTAATGAATCCATTAGTGACTCTGACCATTTTCTCATGTAATTGTTGACCCTTTGTCCATCTTCTTTAGAGAAATGTCTACTCCAGTCCTTTGCCCATTGCTCAATCATGTCAACTGTTTTGTTTCTGTTGAGTTGTAGGAGTTCTTTATTGTTTCAATTTACTTTTAAAGTCCGCTGGAGCATGATGTTGGTGTTTCCAAATTATTGTCATAACTTTCCTGGCATCAGCAACCTTTCTGAAAACTGGAGACCAAAAATGCCAAGTAAACAACTAAAAACTAGCTTTTGCTCTTTTTAAAAAGTCAACTTTGTTTTGAATTTTGAAAGGAAGTGGATTTTATTTTATGACTTTGGCACCTGCTTCCAGAAATGGCCAGCAGAGGGCACCCCAAGAGCAGCCCAGAAGCCCTGGAAACTGAATGGAAGGTTGGAATTTTTGCTGTGGCACTAAAGAAGGTTGGAGGCAGGTACAAATCAGTTTTTTTTT